GGGCCAGCGCTTGAAGCCCCGCATCTGAGAACTAGCAAGACCCGTCAGAGTGTGCACAGTAGGGACTGTGACGATCAGCTCAGTGTCAGGGCCTGAGGCTCCCGGGAGCCTAGGCTGTGTGTGTTCTGATGGTATACAGGATCTGGCTTGATGAGAAGCAGCAGCAGCATTCTGTGTAGCTGATGCATGCTTAGGACTCAGTTGGCCTTCCTTGTTACGCTAGGCTGGACAGGGCAGTGTTTTCCTTCCTGAGTCCCTACAGTCTGACGTGGGGGGTTACCACCATGGCAGAGCTTGATTGTACCTCTGGAGACTACTACTGATGAGAAAGTGCTGTGTATGGATTGGTTTTGACTATAGAATTAGCTCCAGTCTATGCCCTGGCAGGGAGAGAATGCCCGTGATTGTGCGCTAGTACTTGATGGCGGCCATGGCGAGATTTCACAGTCTAACCTGTTATTCTGAAAGCAGCACTGGTGCTTGGCTGTTATTTGGGGAGGGGATATGTTAAGGCCTTTTTTGTACCCCATGAACAACAACTCTTCTGGGAGTTTTATCTGAAATGGTTTTATGTCTGACTGGTCTGTTTCTACCCACCCACCTACCTCTCCCCATTTTGGTACAGATGCTGGGGGTGGGAAGGGTACAGAGTGAATTAAATTTTGAGTCTTGCTGAGCTAGCACAAGGATAGCTTACAGTCATGTGCTGCAGAAACACTAGGCTAATGTGCAAGTGTTGCCAGTTTTCTGTTTAAATATTCACTTTTCTTTTTTACAGTACAAGCCCACCACCAACAGCAGTTGTAAGGCTGCCCTGGAGGAACCGAAAGGCCAAATTCCCTCCTCCCTTCTACTGCTTCTACCAACTGGAAGCACAGAAAACTAGAATTTCATTATTTTGTTTTGAAAAAATATATGTTGATTTCTTGTAACATCCAATAGGAATGCTAACAGTTCACTTGCAGTGGAAGATATTTGGACCGAGTAGAGGCATTTAGGAACTTGTGGGCTGTTCCATAATTCCATATGCTGTTTCCGAGTCCCGCAAGTACCCCAGCTCTGCTTGCTGAAACTGGAAGTTATTTATTTTTTAATGACCCTTGAAAGTCCTGAACACATCAGCTAGCAAAAGAAGTAACAAGAGTGATTCTTGCTGCTATTACCGCTAAAAAAAAGAAAAAAAAAATCAAGACTTGGAACACCTTTACTAAACTTGACAAAGGTTCAGTAAATTCTTACCGTCAAACTGACGGATTATTATTTATAAATCAAGTTTGATGAAGTAATCACTGTCTGCAGTGGTTCAACTTTTAAGTTAAGGGAAAAACTTTTACTTTGTAGATAATATAAAATAAAAACTTAAAAAAAATTAAAAAATAAAAAAAGTTTTAAAAACTGATACCAAGTTAATGTGTGTTTGTATGAGCTATTTCCATTATAGGATACTGAGTATCAGGGCAGGAGGGCTGACTGCTTTCTTAATATCCTTGAAGGTTAGCTGTCAAATGATTTTTCTTCTTCACCTTTAGTTCTGGTTCAAGGTATCTCTAGAAAAAAGACAAGACTGAGAGATGTTCTCTGTGGTGGCTAGAGGTCTGCTTCAGAAGGAGGAAGGCTGGCTAGAGTTGGGCAGCACCGAAGGTCCACATCCTCGGCCTGACGTTGATTCTGTAAGCTTCCTTTTTAATATCTCCGGAACCCAGATAAGTCAGAAGTTGTCCTGATTCAGGCATCTGTGTTTTACCAGTAGGGGGCAGGAGACACACACTCACAGTTGTAATAAAGGAATCCAGACAGCTGAAAGGATGCAGCAATGTACAAAATAAACCCTAAGCATTTGTTAGGGGTCTTGGTTTTGTGGGAGGAGGATAAACTGGAAAAATACCTATTTTTCAGAGATTGTAGTCATAATAGAACCTTTAAATACTGCAGTTAACTAATCAAGATTCCAAAACCTTTGTTTTAATTAACATGTAGCAATTTGTACATTATAGCAAAATCTGTATTCAAGAATAAGTTACTTATACAGTACATAAACAATACATAAAAATTTGCCAAATAGACCTTCTGCCTGTAATGATACAAGATGAATCCATTTTCTGTGTTGTCATTACAATGTGCTATTTATTCCAGCTAAACACTGGGTGTCAGATGTGTCCTTGTTAAGAGGCAGTGGATAATAAACTATCATGTTCCTCTAGCTTGTGGGAGATGTTAACACTCACATGATATTTGTGATAACAGACTTAGCCCTGAATAACAGCATGAAGGAATCTCAGGCAACCCTTAGGGAAGAGTTCAAGGCTTTGATTTTAGGTTAAGAAACTGTTATGTAAAAATAGTGTTCTCTGGCTTAAGATTTTAATGATTGCTATTCCTTTTTCCTACACGGTCCAGAAATGATCAAAGGCAGAAGATTTATACCAGATAAAGCCATATGGATTGCTGGTCTAAAATTCAAGGCAGGTTAGTTGACTTAATTCTTTGGTGCTGGTGACTGTTAGTTTGTAAAGTTCACTAAAGTCAGGTGAAGGAAGTGACGGTGCCAGGCCATCCTCGTCATCTGTCATTAGAGATGAAAGAGGGCTGGCGATACTCAAGGGTCCGTTCACCACTCGGAGCCTGGCTCTCAGCAGAGGCTGCCGGCCTGGCCTCTTGCCGGCAGCAGTGGTCACATTGGGGCTGGAAAGAGGGTGGTGGAATGCGCTGTGACTTCATTGGGCTGGCTGCAGCTATCAGGGTTGCTGCCTCACTGCCTGTGAGGGCATCACGCCCTGGGCCCCACTGCTCCCCTTTCCTCCAGCTCGACCTGCTCTAGCAGAAAGAAAAGGCATTGGCTTAGTGTCGCTTCTTCCTAGGCCACAGAGGGCCGGCCTTTTTGTTGGAATGTATTTGAACTGTCCAGGTAACTCAGAGACATTTAGTCAAGAAATGTTTTTCTTGAACATTTTACACTGAAGCTGTCTGGAAGTGGGTGACTGTATCAGAGATTCTGAGCTTGTACTTTGCAGCCAATCATTCAGAGCTGTGAGCTTGCTGGGCCTGGCTAGCCTCTTGGCACCACCTGAGACTTATATGTTGAGAGGCTTTTAAGAAGCGAGTGCCCCAGGCTTGTAGATGTCATATCTCTACATTTACCCTCCTGGTCTGCGCTTTGCTTAGCATTCATTACTCAGTAATGCTTGATGTGTAGAAAATGTGGCCCTTAGAAATGGACCACAACCATAGATTGAGGGTTGGATATACTTTACCATCTGTGAAACCACCCAGGAGTGTTAGTTTTATGTAGATTTTTTGAGGGATCTTAGTTCCCTAACAAGAGATTGAACCCATGCGCCTGGCAGTGGTAGTCCAGAGTCCTAACCACTGGACTGCCAGGAGTGTTGGTTTTAAAAGTAGTGAAGCGAGGTGGCTGCTTACCCCTCTGCCCCTCCTAAAGTCTGACCTCCTGGAGTACAGAGAATGGCTGGAACAGACAAACCCCTCACCCCAGATAAGGCAGGCAGTAGTTAGTCTAGGCCAAGGTTTAATTTTAGCCTTTGATTGATATATCTGTAAATGTTAAGCTGTGCTAATGAAACTCCCAGTTTCCTAGAAGTCACTCGGGTGAGGCTGGCGGCTAGACTGAATGGCTCTGCTGGCACCAGAAGCGGCGGACTCTGCTGGGTCACTGCCTCCCTTGTTTCTGAGCCTCTGCATGAAAGTTGTGGGAGGAGCTAGCCCCTTATGAATTGTGTCACTTGTGAAAGGCAAGTACAGATGGAGATTCGACTGCAGGACCTCTGGGGATGGTGGAGGTTATGGGTGCCTGTGTATCCATGCACACATAGTCTTCATCAGATGAAGCAGTGGTCACTGCTGGAACAGAACACTGATTGTGGACTATTAAAGGAGTTTCTCATTAGCTGTGGCACCAGATTCCTAGCTTCCATTTTGGCTCACGAATGAGCCTAAAACCTTGTGGAATAATTTAATAAGCCTTTAGATGGTTGGAGGCTCTGAGCCAGCCCTGTTGGTGAAAGATTTACTAGAAAGGGCCCAGCAGCCCTTTTTTTTCCTTGCCCCTCCCTCACCCCAGTTTAACTCTCACCATAAAGCTACTGTAAACCAGAATTCAGTTTTTTATTCATAAGGCACCAGGGTGGAACTGTTCCTGGCCACCCTCCTCTTCCAGTAATTGCTTGGAATTTCCTTGAAAGAGTGACACACTTCACTTCTCTACATTTAGGAAGGACATTATCTCCTCAGCAACAGGTGACTGTCCTGAGAATATAACAGACAAGGAAGCCAGGCATACTGGCTTGAACCAGGAACTGGTCAGTACGTTTGCATAGCTGTCTCTGACTATAAAAATTGCATGGGTATTAGTTCAAACAGTGCAATGAAATAAGCAATGGTTTAATTTTGAAACCTGAATTCTTTGAAAAATTAATCTGAGGTAAAAATGTTTTAAAATCATTTTTGACCTTTAGCTTGTCCATCTGCCAGAACTTTGTCCTAAAGCTGAGAGTGGAAGCAGGATAGGTGTGGTCACCTGTGGCTTGGGTACAGCAGACCTGCCACCTGGACTGACACTACAGTGGGAAAAACCACGGCAGAATCCAGGGCTTGTTAGTGTTTTGGGCTTCCATATGGGCCCCCTCCCCAAGTAGAAAGTCTGTCAGCTGGGACAGACAGTGTCAGTGAAAAAGAGAAGTAGTTTCCACTGCCAACTCCGGCCCTCCCCCTCCGCCCACCCCGGCCGCCTCTCAAGAGTGATGGGGCCTGGTCCTAGGGACATCCTCGAACAAGAACTACGTCTGTAAACAGTAAGGAGAAAGCCAGGTAAGAATGGAACTTGTAGGAGGCCCTTTAACAGGCCTAATAGAAGGGTCACATCCAAACTGGAATGAGCAGTTAAAAGTGTCCCTTGAATCTCTCTCTGGAAGGAAGGAAAGAAAGTTACATTCACAAGTTCACGTCTCTGCTTGCTTGTGCTCCTCCGGGCAGCATGAGGCCCATCAGAGAGGTGTGTACTGATTGTCTATGGCCCGTAGGCGGCTCCGGGAGGAGGAGTCCATTTCATAGTCTGAGTCCCGGGCTCGACTGGCGGGCTCAGGCTCCAGGTGCCGCAGGCTGTTGGCCAGTTCCTCGGGCGAAGGCACCAGGTGGAAGATCTGCTCTGGGGGAGAGGATCGGCCTGGGAGACCCTCTGGGCCAAGACCCCGTGGACAGCCAGAAGCGCTAAGGTGGGGAAGGCCCAGCTCTGAATCCCAGCAAGAGAGGGAGAAAGGGAACAGAACAGTGTTGGAGGAACCTGGGGGACAAGTGACCGAGAGAGAGACCACACTGTCAGTCTTATCAGCGTGGAGGCAGGTGCTGGAAGGACACAACAGGAGGTCTCGGTCCCCACCCCCTTTATCAAGGGGCATCAGGGTCACACCTGGTGGCTGGGAGACGACAACCACGTAGCTGGACAGCCGGACGTCACAGGCAGCCCCGCACTCGAGGGGGATGGGCGAGCGCTGGAAGTGGTGGAGCATGTCCACGACTGAGGGGAAGCGGAGGTGCTGCACTCGGCACTGGCCCCGCTCGGTCAGCGACAGGCGCAGGTGCTACAGGAGAGGGAGAAAGGTAGGCTCAGGCCCTGGCCCCTTGGGGCCTTTAACTTGGCCAGGGTGCAGCCCCACCTGCCTTGCCCCATACCTTGGCTATGCCCTGGAAGTTGAACGTGAGCACATACTCCCCACGCCGTGTCTCACTCTGCCGCACCAGGAACACTCCATGAGCATCAGGACCTTGCAGCTGGACCAGCTGAGCCGCCTTCACCCGGGAGATGGGACCATGGAACCAGGGGTAGCAGGACAGGAAGTGATCTGTTTTCTGGCAGGCTGGATCCAGCAGCGCCCCAGGAGAAGCAGCTGGTAGAGAAGGAGATGGGTAATGGTGGGTGCCTTAGACTCTGGGCTGGGTCCTGATATACTGGAGGACAGAGGCCCTGACCCCTCACCTTGGTTCAAAGAATCTGTGCTTCCCCTTGGAGAGTCAGCCATGCCGGGTTCTGTGGCTGAGGGAAAGTGCGGCTCTGGGTCTGTGGTCTCAAGTCTGCGGGAGAAGATGGGGGTTCAGGACTCGGTAGCTCAAGAGTAGCAGGAAAAACTGTGTCAAGATGGAGCCCTTGGTTCTCACCCTTGGCCTGTGCATGCCCGGAGCTCGGCCATCCACGAATTCAGCTGCTGTTCATCTCCCACATCAAAGATGATGTCTGTCCGGTCCTTCACCTGACAGGAAGGAAGGGACAGCTGTGTGCAGTTCCTGAGGTCTGTGTCTGTTCCCCCCATGTGTGGAAAGCTGCCACTCACCTTTAGCACAAAGGTGTACAGGTTGTCAGGCATCTCAAGACGTGTGCATCGCCGGATCTCCTGGATACTGGAGCAGGCTGCTTGTAGCTTGGACTTTGAACTCTAGGAGACCAATGCAGACATTCAGGGCCTGTCCCTGATAGCCCTTCACCCACCCAGGCCTCTGTTCTTTGCAGTCTCCCCAGGCCTAGCTTGCTCAGTGGACAACCTGATCCTGGAGTAGATTCTAGCATTCTTCCCAACAGAAACCTGCAGGGGATCCTCTGCCTGTAACCACAGCACTATCTCCCCCACCCACACACAGACACTGAGCCCCCCAGCATCCAGCAGGGCCCGAGGGCCAGTCTCTGCTTCACCTTGACCTGTGGACATTCCAGCTCTGACCCATCTGCTGGCTGACACCAGTTTCTCTTCCCTCTGGTGGAGCAAAACCCCCCAACCCATTCTTCTGGCCAGTCACAATTGCTGCTGATCACCTCATCACAGCAAACCCAGAGATGGAAGGTGAGGGTATCCCAACCCAAGTTCCCTCTATGGTGCTGGCTGACCATGCCAGGGGCCCAGGCCTTTCACGTTGCCTTTAGCTCCTCTTCTCCCCTCCACTGGCTCCCCACCAGGACAGACCTCTCCCAGCCCAACAACAGCCCAGGAAGCAGATATTATCACCACATCTTAAAAAGAAGAAATTGAAATCTTGGAGATAGTAATTTGCCTGAGGAAGCAGAGATCAGGTTGTGAACCCCCATTCAAAGCATATACCTGACGACTATGTTCTGCCTCCAAGTCTCAGGAAAGGAGGCGTGGGTGAGGTGGCATGGTGGGAGTTGGCAGAGTAGCTTAGCTATGGGCTCTTTTGCCAATGTGCCCAAAGGAACACAGCCTGGCATGGCTGGCCCCAGTTACCAGCCGACCAGAAAACTGCAAGCCCCAGAAGCCTCCCGTGACATTCAATACACATGGGGTTCACAGTGGGTGGGAGATGATCCCCTACTCTTTAGTTATCAAAAGGGTCTTGACTGAACCTGGCTGACCCTACAGATGTCTGTTCCCAGGACCCAGGAGCTCTCATCACTTTTTCTCAGAAGGCAGAGCACCCCTCCACTTCCTCCTATGATAAAATGGCTAAGATTGTTTCCCTAGAGTCATGACATGATCAGTGGTGGCTTTCAGCAGAGGCCTGAGGAAGATAAGATGTGGGAAAGGGCAGCTGAGACCCAATGGTGCCCCTCCTCCCTTCAGCAGCTGTTTTAAGAGACAGTGAGGTGCACCTGAAAATACCACAACCCCCACCAAACCAGGGCTTCCCTGGTGGCCCAGGTGGTACAGAACCCACTTGCCAGTGCAGGAGACACAAGAGACCTTGGGTTTGAACTCGGTAGGGAAAGTCCCCTGGAGAAGGAAATGGCAACCGGCTCCAATATTCTTGACTGAGAAATTCCATGGACAGAGGAGCCTAGTGGGCTACATACAGTCCATGAGGTCACAAAGAGTTGGACACAACTAGTTATGCGTGCGCACACACACCATCAAGCAAGCGCCAGGTGAGGAGGAAGAAACAAGAGGCAGGAGCAAAGGTGAGTTCTAGGCACAGCGGCTTTGGCAAATCCAGCCTGTGCCCAGAGGGTATGTCTTGGACAGGAGCTGGTTTTTCAAAAGGTGGTGTCAGATTCCATCCCAAAGCCATACACCCAGCTGAGCTTCAGACACAGGTGCCAGGGTTCTGGCATAAGGATGGTGAGTGCAAGACTGGGCAGCCTGTTAGGAGAGAGGCTCTTCTTGGTCCAGGCTCACACCCAGCAGGTCTTGGAGCTGCCAGTCCTGCCCTGGTGGTTGGACACAGCAGTCTGGGGAGGAGAACTGGGCATGCACTCTGAGAAGCTACACAACTAGTAAATCACACCCTAAGTGACCACCAGCCAGGGCATCGTCACCCTTCCAGTTCCTCTTGTATGTCCCCTACGACCCAGCTCCTCAGCCAGGGAGCCCCACCCAGCACCCACATGGACACTAGACACGCCAGAGCCCAGGGAAGCAGGGCCCCCATTCCCCCAGCGGTGTTCTCAGCCAGCCAGCCTCTCCATGTCTTATTTCCTGGCTATAGAATGGGTTAGTACAGAGGGCTCCTTCCTGCTCCTGCATGTGCAGTTGGCCCTGCCTGGCTCTGGACCCACAGGATCACCGGGAGGAAGCAGACCAGGCCAAGAAAGGAATGGGCCTTGTCTCCTTTTCACTTCCGCCCTGGGCCCTGCCCCCAGCATGAGTGCCAAGATTAACTGGCGGAGCCATGGGTCTCACTCTGAATGTGGGCCCCTCAGTGCCAGCTCCATCCCCAGCAGCTGAGCAGCTGCTGACCTGACCGGCAGTGGTGAAGAAAGGATTCCCCTCCTCAGCCACGGCCAACCCTGGCCGCACAGGCAATGGTGAAGCTTGGCCTGGCTCCCCTCTGCCTGCTGGCTGAGCCCAGCACACATTCCTTGGTCCCTTCTCTGCGGCCCAGAGTCATACAACTTGAGAGGCTGAGCCAGGGGCTGGACCCAGCTCGTCCAGTGTCCACCTAAGCAGTAACCCTGCTGCCTGGTGGGGTTGGAGGCCAGGGGCTCTGCCCAGATTGGAGGAGCAATTTCTCCCATGGCAGGAGTTGGGTAGGGGGTGGGGGCATTTGGGCCTCGAATCTGGCCGGAGGGAATGAGAGCCGTGACTGGAACCAGATCTGGCCTATCTGGAGGCCTTGCTTTCCCCTCAGCCTGCTGCCACTCCCTGCGCTCAGGTGTGCACGGCCATCCAGAGTGCTCCAAGGCGCCCGCCTGCACCCTGCTGTGCCCCATCCTCATTCACACTCACAGGACCCCAGCAGGGACACAGTACACACAGTATCACCCAGCTTCTGATCTAGAAGGGGACAGATACCCAATGGGCAGGACACGGTGTAGGGGCCAGGACACATGGGTGGGGAAGGGAGCAAGCCTCCCACGCGCGGAGAGGTCCTGGGCCAAGGCCCTGAGGCAGGGAAGCACACAGGCACGCGTGCCATGCGGGTGAAGCAGTCAGTCTATTCTCAGGTGGGGCTGTGGAGGTGGGTCTGGCACTCAGCAGAATACTCGGGCAGAAGCCAGCCAGCCAGCTGGGCCAGACCCAGCTCTTAACCCGTCTCTTTCATGGAAAACGGGGGGTGGGGGTGGGGGCGTGGGTGGAGACAACATCCAATTCACACCCAAACAGTAAAGAGCCTGGCACGGGGGACCCCAGGGTGTGGGCATGCCGTACCCTCACAGTGGCCTTATTCCACCCACTCTAGGGGTCTTTATTCTTCCAGGGAAAGCCTTCAGGAGAGACCCACACCAGCCTCTTAGCAATCTTCTCTCTCCCAGGGCTTTAGGACCCTCACTCCTCTCCTGTAAAGAGCAACCGTGGGACAGGAGGTAGGACTCAATATACAGCTGAAGGTGAAGGTTCAAGCCCCATTCCTCTGCCACAGCACTCAACGCCCGCGAGGTACCAGCCCCATGGCCTGGAGCCAAGATGAGACAAGCCCCAGCTCCACCACCTACATGTGGGATCTTGGGCATGGCAGTGACTGCAGCCTCAGCATCCTCTTTGGTAATATGCAGACAGTAAGCAAGATCCTGCTGACCTCTAGGCGGAGGACCAGTGGGTCTTTGCTGGAGGCCTGAAAACAAAGGCTCAGAGGAAATTCTAGATCCATTCAGAAAACTAAGATCATGGCATCTGGTCCCATCACTTCATGGCAAATAGATGGGGAAACAGTGAGACTTTTATTTTCTTCGGCTCAAAAATCACTGCAGATGATGACTGCAGCCATGAAATTAAAAGATGCTTGCTCCTTGGAAGGAAAGTTACAACCAACCTAGAAAGCATATTAAAAAGCAGAGACATTACTTTGCCAGCAAAGGTCTTGTCTAGTTAAGGCCATGGTTTATCCAATAGTCATGTATGGATGTGAGAGTTGGACTATAAAGAAAGCTGACCGCTGAAGAATTGATGATTTTGTACTGTGGTGTTGGAGAAGACTCTTGAGAGTCCCTTGGACTGCAAGGAGATCCAACCAGTCCATCCTAAAGGACATCAGTCCTGAATATTCATTGGAAGGACTGATGCTGAAGCTGAAACTCCAATACTTTGGCCACCTCATGCAGAGTTGATTCATTGGAAAAGACCCTGATGCTGGGAAGGATTGAAGGCAGGAGGAGAAGGGGACGACAGAGGATGAGATGATTGGGTGGCATCACCAACTCAATAGATGTGAGTTTGAGTAAACTCTGGGAGTTGGTGATGGACAGGGAGGCCTGGCGTGCTGCGGTTCATGGGGTCCTCAAGAGTTAGACACAACTGAGCGACTGAACTGAAGTCATGGATAACTGAGTTTCCCCTCAGGCAAGAGCCCAGAATGGATGCTGCTTAGACCGATGGATGAAACATCATTCTGAGGAAGGCTTAATCATGTCTTATTGTATCCAAACAGCCTTTAAAAAAAAAAAAAGAAAGAAAATGTCCTATCTTGTTTGGATTCCAGGGATACCCAGAATGGAAATGCAGACAGCCACTAGAATACAGACCTGAGTTTCACTTGCCACAGATTTGTATCTGAGCTTCCTAGCAGCCAGTGCAAAGAGGCATTCTCCAAGAAAAGGCAGCCACTTATGCATGGATCCCATGCAGAGCAGCCATTAAAGCCTCTGAGAAGAGCTGGAGCAGAGAAACCTGAACCCATGTGTTCCCCACCCAGTGGCCACCAAGTGTCTGGCTCAGAAACCCCTGTGGGGTCTGCACAGCCACTGCAAGCAACCTCCCCATCCTGGGTTTTTAGAATTAGACGTTCGTGGCCTTAAGTCCCAACTCTGCCTCACCCTCCATGGACAAGTGAGTTGCCTCTCCTGGCCTCAGTCTCCACTTTTATAGAGTGGGCTAACGGTGCCCCTCTACCCTCCAAGAAAATGTGGCAGTACCATGTGTGTGGGCATTGCGGGGGCGGGGGGTGGGAGGATGTGGAAAGGTCCCAGGGGATGTCACAGGGCCTTGGAAAGTCAGTCTTAGGAATACTTGGTCTGCTCAGAAGCAAACTGCTCTCCTGAGGAAACTTTCAG